GGCACAGTCTGCACCAATCAGGCTTTCAGTGAGTGATTTCTGATTATTCCAGAGCACAGCAGACGTCTCCAGTCACAGTCCATGAGCCGTTGTGTTTGAAGAACCGCTCGAATGTTTCCCAAAATCTGAGTCTCATTTGTGGTTCTCGAAAGAAAATGCCATTGATTTCCATTGGCACTGTTGATTCAGACCACTAAACAACCAGCCAGAAGAAACTCATTTTCTGAGAAACGACATATTTCACAGTGACGTATTTAAGGATCTGAGTGACATTTAGTGTTGGTTTTCTGTGAACATGCGGTGATGAATTATCCAGCTCTGCTCTCTCAGTGAAAGCGCTGGACAGTCTGGAACCACAGACATGCCGCTCTGCTTGCTTATGTGCTGCTGGTAGAAATGAAAGCTGTGTGTTTGTTCTTTAGCTTGGTGCTGAAATCTGTAGCGCAGTGTGTGATTCAGCTGATATTACAGGATCTGTGAAGACTGACAGCAAAGATCTGTGGCACTTTAATAGACTACAATACAATGAGATATAGTTTAGTTAATTCAGCTTTCATCAAGTTTAATTAAATATAGCATGAAACTGTTCAAATGTTTGGAGTCAGTAAGAATTTGTTTTGTATACTTTTATCTAAGGATGCATTAAATTGATCAGAAGTGACAGTAAGGACATTTATAATGTTACAAAACATTTCTGTTTCAAATAAATGCTGTTCTTTTGAACTTCTTGTGCTCAGTGGAATATTATTCACATTCTACACATTCTACTCATTTATTTAGTCTTGGTTAAGCATTTGGTGCTCCGATCCAGTCGCTCCGCTGCTGTTCTGGTGTATGAGCTCATGAATAAAGCGAGGCCTTTCCGTCATGTAGGTCGTCTCCTCTGAGGCTCATGGGAGTGTCTATAGATTGAGTTTAACACTCCTCCCTGTGCCGCACAATCTGCCAAATTCAAGACCTCATTTTGGACGACTGAGATCCCTTCATTCTGCTGCATCTGCTCATTTTCTCCCTAAAAACACTTCATCCACGAGCTTAGACAGATGAGGAGCTGCGCAGTCAGCGATGACCTTCACGCTCGCGCTGTACTTCTACGTTTAGCCGAGGGTCTGTTTCTGAATCCGTGTTTCATCGTCACGCTTGCTTCATCACTAACAAACAGCACAGCGGTCACTTCCATGGACCTCAGTGGTTTTCTCTCATGTTCCTCATGACCTCAGCCCACCGAGAGCCAGTAACTCAAACCTTCAGGTGTTACCCAGAAGCCTTTGATTGTCCAGTCTTCATCTGGTCTGGAGTGAACCTCTCTGCTCCGAGAAATACACGCCGTTCCCAAACGTCTTCATACTGGCGAAGTTGCACAACAGACTGCTGAAATCGTATTATCGGGCACATCTATGGAGAATTCATGAAGGGACAAGTGTGCACATGGAAATAAATAATAACAGATTACTGATCATTGAGTGTGTTTTCATGCATAACAAAACACTGACCTACATGATGACACATTATCGGGTTATTACGCTTAGGTGATTAGGTTATTATCACTGTAAGACTGTGCTTGTGAACGTATTCACTGATGTAAACAAGTCTCCAAACTCATGCATGCTTTCATGCATATAAAGATGTAAATAAACGTTGGTAAGACTTTACCTGAAACCTTTATATTTAATGCATTATAAAAGAATTTAATGCATGGATTATGCCTTGTAATGCAGCTTATAAATTATCCATTGTATGAATAATTGTAACTGCAGTTTTTATGAAAAACTCAAGGTGTTAGTAAAACTTTTAAATGCACGCCATTGTGCCTATTATTTACTCTTTCTAAAAGGTCAATTCTGCGTGAAATTAATACATGTTACTGGTTTTAGTGTGAATGACTTATCGGTGAATACATTTATTTATTTAGACAATGTGTTATTAATTAAAATTGCGTTCATTCCAGTCTTCAGCGTTCACTTTTCACAATCCAGTCAACAGCCGAGTTCTGTCTATGCATTTCACTTGGAAACACTCAACTCTCACAATAATGTCTTGTTTGAATGACTGCATCAGGTGTCTCTGTTCACTTTTGACAACCACTTAACAGCAGGTGATATCTCACTGTTCTCACTGCTGTATAAAGCTGTGTTGGAGTCCTGATCCTGAGCTTGATGGGAATCTTGGGTTTATTAAGTCGGCGTCTCCTTGCGATAGCCTCTGATCAACGTCACAGGATAATTGGTGTAGCTGACTAATAACATGAAGCATATTTATGAGTGAAGCTGCGTCGGATCATATATATGTCGATTATATATCACTCGTTAGTGAGCGTAACTGCTGAAGCTGGATTTGGCGTCTGCGTAGACTCTTATCGCCAGGTTTCTGACTTCACAATCTCCTCATTGGTTTTATTTACTCAGCTGCATCAGATCGTGTGCATAAACACTCACACTGGTTGATATGACTCATGAATTGGTTTTTGGCCTGCTTTATATATCATGTAAAAGAAAACATTGGGAGATTCCTTTCCTTCGGGATCTGAAGTCTGAAGCTCACCGAGCTGAACTGTCATTAGTATATGAGCATAAACTCTTCATTCCGCCGTTGAGCTGTTGTGTGAGTGCTAAGATGGCATGTCTTGCTGTAGTGTGCCATTGAAGAGCCAGTGGTCCAGATCTCCAGCACTAACCCCTTTCAGATGATGGGCCGGTAACAGAGCGGCTGATTGTTTGTGCTTCTCCTGCGCTCTAATCAAGGCCATGTGTGCACTTCAGTTCTGATCTGGCTCAGTTCGGTGTGCTCGGCTGATTTGGTTACATGTAAATGAAGCTAAAGTGTGATCCACCGTGGTACAGTAGTTCTGGCAGACGCTGCTGTTTTAGTTTCTCATCTGTGAGGGAAACAATCAGATCTTTTCTGAAAACAGCAGCCGATTGAAGTGAAGCTGTAGGAGCTGCAGGGATGCCTGGAGGCAGTTTACAGCCCCGGATCAAATGTGTGCGCTAATAAAACTGCAGAACCGCTCGCCGGATCTCAGCACATGAACAGGAAAATGCATGGTGTGATTATAAAGACTTTTATTGTGGCATGAAGTATTAGCAGGACCGAGACTGTAAAGAAATACTAGAGAAGGAAAGTGTGCTTATAATAAAGTCTTTTGTTTTGTAAAGCATGCATTGTGAAGTCTGTGGATGGAATTCAAACATTTCAACATTGATAATAATCAGAAATGTTTGTTGAGCAGCAGATCAGCATATTATACTGATTTCTGAAGATCATGTGACACTGAAGACTGGAGGAATGATGCTGAAAATACAGCTGCGCATCACAGAAATACATTACAGTTTAACACATATTCACACAGAAAACAGCTAATAATATTTCACTGATCAAATAAATGCAGCCTTGATGAGCAGAAGAGGCCTTTTCCAAAACATGAAAATATCTTACCAACCCCAAATATAATAATAAAATAATTATATAGATAGATAGTTTTTAAAAATATTTTATATATCTGTTTCAGAAAAATAATGTCATTAATAAGATAATTTTTCTGTCTGTTGTCAAAAGAGGTTGTCATGTGAAATGCTAATAGATATTAACACATTCCATTTTTAATCAGATGTAACTATTTGATATTTATAATGAGATGATTTTGCCCTAGAATTGAGCTAAAACAAGCACCTCAACTCAGCATTTTCACTGATTACGATTATTATTATTATTGGTGTACATGTTTCCACTCATCCGTGTGTCTCAGAATGACCTAGAACGGCTCTGTTCAGTGAACGTGATTTAACCAAGTGCAAAATGCTCCTGGATCAACATTACAGTCCACAAATATAGACTTAACCCAATCCCAACCCCTAAACTTAACCCTACACATAATTTATTCCTAATATCAGAGGGAAATGATAGCTGATTAACAAGGGTGTAGAAACACCTAACTCTGATCGTAAGCCTAAAACTGAGATTTCCTGAGGTTATCTCTCAATTCTGATTGGTTGATTGGAATGTTGTTCCAGGATCAACAAGGATGTTAAAGGGGTCATCGGATGCGACATGCACTTTTACAAGTTGTTTGAACTGAAATGTGTGTTGGCAGTGTGTGTACACAACCACCCTACAATGATAAAAATCCCCCCAGTGCTTTTTTAAAATCACGATAAATGATAACCCCTTTCTCAGATCAAGCTGCTCTCAGATTGTTGGCTGTGTGATGTCACACAGACCCAGGCCCCTCCCACGATTGTTGATTGACACTGGAGTTTTACCTTAGCTCCGCCCTGAGTGAGCTGTCATCAGTCCGCCATTGTTTCGCCGCCGGAGCAGATGTAGACAAGAATGACTCCTGAGAGATTGAGATGTTCTGTTGCTGGATGTAATAATGAACAGCAGTCGTCATTTACTCCCGACATCTGAGCCGCTGAAGACGCAGTGGATTACATTGTTTCTGAAGAGAATGCTCCCCGATCTACATAAATGTGTCTATGTTCGCGAGAATCATTCGTGATCCAGCTTCACCAACAGAAGTCAGTGTAAAGTTTTTAATGAATCTTTGCAAATCGCCTTTCCTAGTAATATGCTAGTTAGCAAGTTCCATGACGAATGTGGCTAAAGTTTACAGTCTCATTAGGATGGCTCGTCACCCCACGGAAGAGAGGGGCAGGGTCAGCAGAGCTCATTAGCATTTAAAGGGACATGCACCAAAACATCTCGCTGTGAACAGAGCTGTTTTTGACAGGGTAAAAAGGGTGTTGTTTTACACTACCATTGAGAAATTTTAACCAAAGTATTTTATAGACTTTTCATTAAGAGCCTAAAGAATCATACCAACTTGTGGAAAATGGGCATCCGATGACCCCTTTAATCCAGGAACATGTTGTACTTGGTGAAATCACGTTCACCAGGGATAGGGTTAGGTCTATGTTTTTGGACAATAATATTGATATCTTGCATCCCGGCGTCCGGCTGTGTCCGGACGCGTTTACTGACTCTGTTCTCCGTCTGTGCAGAGCGGGACTCAAGCGCTCAGCTGGACCTCACCGAGCTCATCGGCGTTCCTCTGCCGCCATCTGTGTCCTTCGTCACGGGCCTGGAGGGCTTCCCGGCATATAGATTTGGTCCGGACGCTAACGTGGGCCGACTGACGCGCTCCTTCATCCCCGACCCGTTCTACCATGACTTCTCCATCGTGGTGACGGCCAGACCCAGCTCTCGGCACGGAGGAGTGCTGTTCGCCGTCACAGACGCGCTGCAGAAGATCATCCATCTGGGAGTGTCTCTGGCGCCGGTGGAGGACGGGTCCCAGCGCGTGGTTATGTACTACACCGAGCCCGGGGCCGCGCACACACAGGAGGCGGCTTCATTCAAGATGGGCGATCTGACGGGCCGCTGGGCGCGCTTCACGCTGGCTGTACAAGGGGAGGAGGTGAAGCTGTACATGGACTGTGAGGAGCAGCACCGCGTGGCCTTCCGCAGGAGTCCAGACCCACTCACCTTCCAGCCCAGCTCCGGCATCTTCATAGGGAGCGCCGGGGGAACCAGGCTGGAGCGCTTCCTGGTGAGTGTTAGGGATGGGCGATATGGGCTTTAAAATATATCACGGTATTTCTGGTATTTATTGCGATAACGATATCAATGACGATAATTTAGGGAATCCTGTTTCTTAGAGAAAATAATTATCTTTCCTATTTTTACCCAAAACAGGGTGTTGTGAGCGTTACTGAGTACACGCATAATGTAATGACTGTTTAATTCACACTGGAAGCCAGAGGGCACTCTTGCGCAGAAACTACACATATGCATCGCAGAAGTAATGTCACTGTCGACACTCCATGAAAATCCAGTTATAGCTGAATAAAATGCACAACGGAGATGGAGAAATTTGGTCACAAAAATAAGTTATTTCAACCAGGGTTCGGCTCAGACCTATTTTTTGTCGCACTGTACAGTACAGCCCTGACCAAACCAGTTCCAGATTGTAAAAGTGATCAACTCCTCCTCAATTTCACATCCGCCTTGCACCATGTCTCCCACACTGTCGCACACAGAAATATGTCATCAAATAGTAATATCGCGGGAAGACTTATTCTTATTGTGGGGAGAATTCTTACTGGTCAATCGTAAACGATAAGATATCGCCCTTCCCTAGTGAGTGTCACTGTTTTCTCACGCATGTCTGCAGTAGCGATGATACGTTCAACACGGAAGCTCTGAAGCTTGTATAAAAAAAAACACACATTTCACATTGAAGCACTGTATCGGAGCAGGCCCGATTCTACGGGGGAGCTAGAAGGTGCTAAGCACCCTCAAACGAAATCAATAGCACTCTCAGTTAAAGCTGTAATAATGGCATTTTATTGCAGATTTGGCAAACTATCCAGGGCTGCGTTTCCCAAAAGCATTGTAAGCTTAAGTTGATTGTAGCTCCATTGGTTTCAATGGGTCTATGATGTACTTAAGCTTACGATGCTTATGGGAAACGCAGCCCAGTGCGTTATGGTTTGCTAATTTCTATTTCAATTTGTTTTTGCAGCGTTGAGCAATGTAGCCAATCACAGACATATCTGTCGATATCTTGAATCAGAGGTGTTCAAGTTAGAATCCTCTCACCACGACAGTTTTTTAAATCGGAATTTATATATTAAGATCAAATTAACTTTGGCAATGAAATAACAGTCTAAGGACTGAGGCAGAGGTAAAATAGACAGATCACAGATTTAATTTATGAATTTATGCTTGATTTATTTGAATAATTTTAGTGGCAGTACACTGACACAAATGAATGACTTTGACAATGACCATTATTTATAAACAATAAAAATAAAACAAAGAATCATTTGTAGAACCAGATGTGAAGCCAGCGGCTGTAATAGAGCACTGCACTGTGGAAGGCGTTATTCATTTTTATAACGCTTCACTACAGGATATGAACAATCCAGTTTGATGTTTCCCTTACTAGTACTAGTAAAATAACTAGTACCTTTTCCAGTTTTCTAGATATTTTTCTTACATGTACTAGCTGATCAACAATCACATGTACAAGCTACTAACAAGCTACTAAATGAACAATTATTCAATTATTATTATTAAATTGAACATTTGCAGCTTAATTCACGTGATGTGTGTACAGCTAGGCATCTTTGGTTTCCTCTTTTTGTGTCATTTAGATGGTAAATGTGTGCCTTTTTATCTTTTGAATCACTTATCAAAAGTTGCTAAAGTTTTTTTTAGAAATAGCTAAATTTGTTGCTAGGTGCTTTTGGAAGAAAAAGTTGCTGCGGTAGTCTGAAAAGTTGCTAAATTTAGACCCTCACCTTCTAAACTTTGTCATCACTCGCGAACAACAGACAGAGAGCACACCAGAAACTCCAGTTGATGCCCAAATATGATTTTAATGAATGTTGGTGCTATATATCTTATGCCTCCTAGTGGTTCATCCATGCTCTTCATTAAAAAAATAAAT